GGACAATCGTCAGGTCAGTATCTTTCTTCATTATCTTTTGGTGATTAATGTGCTTTTTGCTAAGAAATGTTTACATAATGCTTCTATCTCTTATTGTGTTCAGTGTTTGTTTTTGGGAATTACTTAAGCTGCTAGCTCAGATCATGCAGTTTGAACTTACATAAATAATTTTTATTGTCTAGCTGCATCTACATCTGCACCGACATGTGTTCCAAAGCACTCTTTTAATCTTCGTCCTAATCGTGCGCTGAGACGTGCGGAGCGACAGGGCGATGGAGGTAGCCGTTTGTATAAATATATCATTTTAATTTATATTAGTTTATTATTCTTAATCACTTATCTAATATCTTATTTGTCTCTATCACACAACAGCTGCAGCTCACACAATCCTCTGTTCGCCACTCGAGCGCCCCTCCAATACTAACATAACTTGCCCCAACGCTGCCATGCCTCGAAAAGCGGAGAGAGAAGGCATGCCTCTGTAGTCTCAATTTAATCAGCGTCCCGGCCGCCCCATTGCCCGGAGTATGCTGCAGAAATTTCCGGCGGAAAGTCATGCTGGCGGGTGCGCGAGAGCCGTGCATGTACTGCAAAATATCCCTCTGCCATTATGAGAATGGGGCCCGGATTGAACATAATACGCGTCACTTTGAACGAGTGTCTTTATAACGATGTCAGCGTATAAATATATTTTATTATCCATTTATTCGATTAAGTTGTTATCATTAGCGTACAATTCTATTTAACAATGTGCCATTCATATTATTGAATATTCAGCAAGCGCCATTATGAGCTTTCTCCCCCTGGATCCTAATTCAGCCCTCTCTCCGCCGTTTAATATTGTATATCGCCAGCGAATGCAAGTCTCAGTTGCAACGAGACGCCGTCCGACTTATAATAGGGTCACGGTTAAAACGTAAGCAGTGTTGTTGCAGCGTGTGGAAACAATACTCCTGCAAGCCCAGAAAGGGAGGCTCTGTTGGACTACTCCAGCGCTTTTTCTTGCGGCATGATAGCTAGACTCATGGCGGTGCCGCAAAATTTGTGCCGCTTCACCCGTTATGATTCAGAGAGCGACAACGAAGGATGTCATAGTATTAAACTAAAATCAACATGTGTAGCACTGCTAATTATAATTTGCCTGTTGCCTTTGCATTACAAATCTAAATTAGATAAGTAACATGCTAGGCATTGAGGGCAAGACGTTAATCGCCCGCAGACATCGGGCGTCAAATTCATTGCCCCATCGGGCTCGCAGCCACCTATACAAGCGTGCGCCTCGCCAGCGAGGCAACATGAGTCGCAACTATGATCACTTCGATTCGCAGTAAATTGTCCCCTTCTTAAAAGCTATTTAAAATTCATATTCCTATGAATTCTTAATGGCTTTTTATCGCTTATACACACATATTTATGCGTGTGCAATTGAAGAAATGCTCACAATCATTGAGCGATGCGGCCCGCCACACCTACAAGTTGCAAGAACTATATTTGGGTACGCCAGCTCGGTCATCAGTGAGATAAGGATCACTGGAGCAGCCTATACATTACGCCGCCGACACAACACTAAGGCAGTATTGTGTAAGTCTCTCTAGCATGAAAATATGCTTTCACTACACCAAAGCTTCTTGCATTTTTGTCCCTAGAAATATGTTTATTTCTTTCTAGATTTAACCAAAACTGACATTATTTTACCCTATGTTCCAGTTCTCATGTTCATTTCTTCTCTGCACCTCAAAATTGATCCTTCCCTGTGTCGTTAAATGGTATTTGTTTTTTGTGTTTGATTCCATGTGTCTGTAACGATTGCATATTTGGTTTATTAAGTTCAATTCAAGTTGTCTACTGAGGCCATTTGAAAAACTAGCTAGCATCATCATCATGCTTGTTAAACATCAATGCTTGTTAACAATAATAACACAGGCACACTGTCACCTTTTACACACATTTCTTAGCATCGCTCATCATGTTCTAAATTTATTTCTTATATGTGCTCCCCGCTTCCACATTGCCTCTGCCTCACATAATGTTTCTGCGATGTGCGTCTAAAATATTTACAAACTATTGCGACACATTTATTGTGGTGTGTGCTAGCGTACCGTTCCTAAATATATTTATATGATGCTAGCCTTGCATCGTTATTCATTCACATTAATCTACTTAAATTGCATGCCACATCTCTAATGGGACACACGAGGTAATTGTTCATTGACGATTGGATCATATACTAATTTATCTACTTTAATCTATTTCCTGAATTGCGAATAAATAACACCATCGGTTCCCTTTTTAGCATAAAAATCAAAACTATTGTATTCTGACATGCATCACATTGCAATGAATATATGTTTCTAATGTCGGATTTGGCTTGAAGTGCTGGTTCAGGCCGACAGATGCTCTCAGACTTGTTCAGGAAATGATCTTCACTGCGATGTATTATCACATTGCCTATGCTGTGTACACTTTTTTCTGCAGTGCAGACTACTTTTGTCCCTTACTTGCATTGAGCAGTCACCATAACGTAACTGTCCCATGAGTTCTCTTCATTTTGTTGGGTTTAAAGTAGTGAGTTGAGCTAGAACTCCTGAGTTCTTGTAGTTTTGATGGGAAGGATGAAGGGTTGGGATAAATAAAAATGATTTGAGTGATTTTTTAAATACAGGGACTCCAAAATACACTTAGTATCCCCCGTTGGCTAACCACTGCTGTGTCATCTGCCCAGACTACACTTATTTCTTGATGTAATAGAGTATATCGCACTGAGATACACTGCTGGGCGGGATTGATCTGCAGTGTGATTGCTGCAGAATTCTTTGTATCTGCTGTGTATCTGCCATATACCAGCAGATACACACTGCTGTGTATCATGCAGCAGATACACATGCCTAATGGACACAGAGGTAATTTTTCACATTAGCAATGAGACACAGCCTGTGAATTAAAACTGTTGATTGCCACACTTGCCAAATATAAAAGCTGAGAAAAGGAAAACAGACGCCGCTGTTTCTAAACATAAAGCAATGCCTTCCAGCTCTGACTTAAGTCTTCTTTTATTCTTTCACTTTGTCATATTCTTTTTGCGTGCAAATTTCGATCTTTGATCTTTCTTCGAACTCTACTCTTTTTACGCGCTCGTTCTAATGACTTCTTCAAGTAGAAAGAAACCACAGTAAGATTGCAATCCACAAACTGTGTGTCTATTATTTGACTCTGTAGAGAAACTACATTAATTGCAAAGATAAAATGTCACGATAACTAGAATGGTCACCAAAATTCCACAAACACTTACGTCCAGGAAATATAGTTATTTTCTATTCCTATCTATCGTTTCATGATTTCCTCATTGTATACAAGTTAGTACCGCTGCAGATCACTGCTGTGTATCTGCATATTCACTGATTTGTATCTGCAGATACACAGAGATACACACTGCTGTGTATCTGCAGATGTGTATCTGCTGCAGATTAACTGGCTGTTGTATCTGCTGTGTATCTGCAGTAACAGCAATACACACTGCCTGGTATCTACAGCAGATACACACGCTAATGGTTTTAACTGCTGTGGTATCTACAATGTGATTTACCATGTATTAAATTAAAGGTTTTACTTCAAAGGTAGGAAAGGTTCAAAGACTTAGCATGACTAGGTAAGCCTTGAACTTAAGAGCCCTTCTCTAGTTTATTTTTGTCTTCTTCCGTTAGTAAATCATCCCTCCATTTTTATTTTCATAAGATAGAGATTGCTTTTATGCTATAAACTACTTTTATTTTGTTTAGTTTGTTATGCTTAAGTATATCTACTTTTCAGTTATCGACTTACAGCTTGACACTACTTTATTGTGTGAATCGAGTCATCAGGAAGGGCAACAATATCAGGGGGGGTCGATTAGACCACAGAGGACGATGCACTTTGTTTCACCCAGATTGTTAGAGTCCCTGCACGGAGGATCACGGGTGGTGTATGAAGAGGCATGGCATTTCATCGGACTACTTTGAGGCGTCTCGCATACCGGAAATCAACAACTTCTAATCGGAGAGAGCTCTAGTCGCGAGGTGGCTGATCTTTAGAGCCTCGGGTAGCTGAGATAGATAATCTCAGAGAGCTATAGGGAGGAGCTTTAGGGTAGAATTTAGGTCTCAAGATGCGCTTGGGTTACTAACAATATGGTCATAGGGCAACTCTCGCATACACATGTACATTGGCAAAGTATCACTATACATCTTATTACGACGTAAATACACATGCTTAAACTAGCTCAATGTATACTCATACATTGCTATACTCTTATTAGCGTTAATTCTGAAGGGCACTCGTTTTCTACTCCCAACTCGTATGATTTCCATCAAATTTTTATGCGTGCTTGTCCAATTACATTCAGCCTGCTACCGTTATACCTTCATTTCTGCTCTCGTCCTGCTTCGATTTGATAACATTCTAGTTCCAGTGGCTCAGGTTCTTGTCCTCGAACTATTCTAGATATTCTGCAGTGTAAGCGTTCGGTGTCCCAAGAGTATTTTCGAGGTAATTTCTTCTGTTCATTGTTGGATGGATCAGACTATTCCTATTTGATAGTTTGGATGTATGAGACATTTGGATATTTAGAGACAAATATATAATATTGGGATGTTCTTCATTGTGAGTATTGAGTAATTATGGCGCTTATCTATATATTTGACCATATTGAGTAATTATTGTGTAGTTTATATTCTGTATTTGATCATACTTAGCATCGCTTTTAGATAGGTTTGTGTTTGTTATGTTGTTTTTGGTTCATTATGTAAATGTGTTATTAGTAAGCAGGTAAATAAATAAAAAGTAAAATAGAAAAATTAAATTAATAGGCCAAACGGTTTTAAGTGTTTGGTAAATACTTGTCCCAACGGCGTTACACCGTTTGGTGACCGCGATATATGCATCGGCGTTTCACCCGTTTTGGATTATATCGCTATCCAAACGGGTACACCCGTTTGGAAAGCGATATATGCCAACGTTGAACCCGTTGGAATATACTCCCGGGCCCAACGGGATGTACCTGTTGGGCAAGTCCCAAACGGGTACAACCTTTCGGAACTTAATCAACGGATACACCCGTGTGGAACCGTTGGGGAATAAGTATCCCCAATGTTTAGCCAAACGGATGTGGTTTCCTGCCAACGGTTGTAACGTTTGGGAGGGGGTTTTCCCAAACGGTTCCAACCGTTTGGGCAGACCAGTTTTGTACTAGTGATTGACTAGTTTTTTTGAGCTCAGCCAGCTTGAAGAGTGAATTATTTGCCTTTGGACGGAGCAGTTGACGGCAAACAGCTCGGAAAAAAAAGAAATAGTTTTCGCTCATAGATGTTTGTTCATGTGCGAGCTCCATATTGGCAATGTTCGTAGGACAGCTGGCTATAGCTAGACTAGACATTGGACCTCAAATCTTGAGCTTAGTCAAAGAGGAGCAGCTAGCAAATGGTTGGCCAAGTGAGCGGGCTGTTTGCACGTGACAATTTAAGTTCTCGGTGCCGGAGATGCACGTGATGAGTTGCGGGGTGGCACAATTTGGTGGGGACCGGGGCATCGTTTGCCCTGTATATAGGGTTGTATGCTAGTGTGCAAGGGCCAAATCTGTGGGTCATACAGGTTCTATTTATATAGTTCCTTTTTTGGTTAGTTTCAATCGTTTGGTTACGGCACCTCACATGGATGCAGTAGGCATGAGAGCTCATTCAATGCAAATTTAATATGTCGTGAATCATTGATAGGAATGTGCCTATCAAACGTTGCGGATTCAACATGGTACTTGATGAGTGCAATTTACACTTGTGCGAGGGTAGGAAGAGAGTAACGGCCAACAACTCCAGCATCTTCCTTCCTTTCTCCTCCTCCTCTTTATTTTTTTTTTTTTTTTTTTTTTTTTTTTTTCCCCCCCCCTTTTTTTTTTTTTTTTTTTTTTTTTTTTTTTTTGCGATACGTAATGATGGATTTATAATAATTTTTATAATTTGTGTCGCTTTAGAGGGGTAAGGGGTGGGCTGTTCTAGGATTTTGGTTGGCGTCGTGGTGCAGAGAGTTGTAGCGATGGGCGGCAAAGATGGGACAGGTACATGGGAAAGTGGCTTGGGAATCTTCTCTGAG